AAATAACACTCTTGCTAACATCGGGCCAACGTTGGGCCAACATTCTCTTAGCAACTTCATAAGACATTTCTTTAAAGGTGTTTTACAAACATTGGGCCAAAATGCTACTTTCCATCTGATAAGACACTTTCCTTAAGGGTGTATTACAAACATTGGGCCAACGTTTGGCCAACATACCACTACCAACTTGATTTGACACATTCTTTACGGGTGTACTACAAACATCGGGCCAACGTTGGTCCAATATACAACTACAAATTTGAAAAGACACTTTCTTTAAGGTTGTATTATATACATTGGGCCAACGTTGGGCCAACATCAGCACCCTTCCTTCCTTCGAAAGTAAAGTTATTGGAAATTGCTTATGTTGGACCAACGTTTGGCCAGCAAAGTATTTATGTCATGGTCGAGAAGGTTGACATGGTAACATGGGTCTAACGTTGGCCCAGCTTGTTCCCCAACGCCAACCTTACAACCTTTTACCAGTGTTGGCCCAACATAGTCATGCTATCTGGGGAGATAAATCAAAATAATTTTTCATCATTTTTTATCATTGAAATAAAGTTCCAAAAATATTGTTAATGCTTGACATATCAATTTATTTTAAAAGTCGTACATCATGCAGTTAACTTCTATTTTTCTTTGAACCTGTTCTGAACACCGGAATATCCAGTAAATTTCACGAACAGTAATTTTCTCTTAATTTAACAGTACAAATTATAAGCTGACTCATCAAGGAAGTTTAAGGTTCCATTTCAAAATACTCTATGTTCAACATACAAATCATTTTTTTAAAAAAAAAGATTTTATTAATTCGGTGTTGTGGTTGTAAGATGCTTATTGTTGTTTTGCAACCCCAAAACTAAGCTTGATGAAATTTATGACCAGGTCCTACTGTTTTTGTATTTATAAATAAAAAACATCCAAAATTTCAATGCTGCAGTCTGTCAACTCCGTATTTCAAGACAAAGCACTATTCAAATATACTTCAAAACTCGATGAAATCAAACATTTTGCGCGCCTGTAAATTCAGGCACCTGTCAAAAGCACACTTCACAACACATGCCGTCTACATGTAAGTGTTGATTATTAAAATAATTCATTTTTCTCTCTTCGGTGAGGAAAAGAATTCCTGTAGAAAATGCAAGTTTCTGTTTTCGCCATCTGTATTCTATCATGGCTTTTCATAATTCCGGAAAATATATTACCTTTGGCATCTTGTAAGTATATTCTGAGATTGTTTGATTTAAAAGAATGTTGATTAATTTGACTTGTACTTGACCTTGAACATAAATTTCAAGGAGAAAAATACAAATAATAAAAAATGAAATCGCAAAGTCGTTAAACAAAAGAAATAACAGATAATATATAGAATTGCAGGGAAAAATCTATTTGAATGATAAATGTATTTGTAGTGCCATTCTTACCAAAGGATTGCCAAGATTTACACTGGTCGAATAATTAAAAGCGGTCTGTACAAAATTTATCCTAAGGGGACCAGTGGAGTTCCAAGTTTATTGTGACATGACAACTTCCGGTGGTGGTTGGACGGTAAAATCAATATTTGATGTAATTCTATTAAACTGAATGTGAATATAAAATGTTCCGTCTACGTTTTCAATACAACAAAGGGATAAGTGCGTTTGTGATCGGTCAGTAAGGGACGCTCACTCCCCTAAGCACTTAATCAGGCTTGTTTGAATTTTCAGGGGTTTCTGTTCACTTTTGATTTTAAAATTATGCCCCTTTATACATTTTTATTGTTCAACGATTAATTTTGAAAAAGATCACTTTTTGTTTATCTTTTTTCATGATATTAGGTTTTTCAAAGACGGCCGAATGGAAAAATTGGATTCAACAGATATTGGAAGGAATACAAGTATGGTTTTGGTGTTCCAAGTGACGAAGACATTGAATTGGTGTATCCAAGGAGTCCACTTTTAAGCTCTAATTTTATATTTCTACTGTTTGAATTTTTTGTGAGGTCGCTCACTGTTTATCTTCATTATTTTTCAAAAGAAATGTATTTATCAACTTTTTAACGTTTGTTTTTCTTCAAAATTTAATATGTAATAAGAATCAATTAATGGTAAAGTAAATAGATACCGAAACAAACGAGAGAATGAAATAAAATAATGTAACACGAATTTCTTGAGAAATCATCACAATTTTTATTCATAGTTCCATAAGATTTGTGCCTTAGGCTGAATCTCTCTCTCTCTCTCTCTCTCTCTCTCTCTCTCTCTCTCTCTCTCTCTCTCTCTCTCTCTCTCTCTTTCAAATCGATTTATCTATTACATTAAAAGTAATAATTTAAGTTTAACATCTTTACATTATTTCTAAATTTCATCACTTTTCTCTATTTTAATCTGTTACATTTTTGTCAATGATTTTTCACAATGTTATTTATCTTCAACGTGAAAAGTAAAATATGTTAAATATGAATATTAAATAATCATTTTAATAACATGCATATCTAGTAATATTTTCCCCTATGTATTTTCTTTGTTATAAACCACGTAACGAACGAATACATCAGCTGACATCTCAGGGTTCGTATGGCTGAAGTGAGCAGATATCTCAGACTTTCAAAACCAAAGGAGATATGCATATTATCGAACATTCTCTCTGGGTAACCTAGCCTCCAACTACCATTTGACTACGCTGGGGTATAGGAAACGCAGGTAATTTTCCAAAAAATTAAAGATGCATTATTTTAGTTCTCTATTTAAGAAAAAGAATTACCCATTTTCATGCCAAACAATATAAAATTCTAAAAAAAAAAAAATGACTTAAAATCAGGTTTCACAGAATACGTTTGTTCAGTCATCGCTCTCACATATATATCTTCAAAAGGCAATTCTTTGGCATATCATAACGGTCGACCATTTTATACTCGAGACGTTCAGGACAGCAAAGGTTGTCAGAGAGCGTACAAAGGGGGTTGGTAGTATGCTCATTGTCACCAAGCAAACCTAAATGGTCTGTACCTCAAGGGACATCACTCTTCCTTCGCTGACGGTGTTAACTGGTACCACTGGCTTGGGTATCATTACTCCTTGAAAACCACGGAAATGAAAATTCGAAGACAGTAGATAGAAGTATTACAGCGTATTTTTGTACAACTTCATATTGAATAAAAGATTTAAAAGAGTGAATTAAGTTTATCACAAAGGCTTGTTTAAATGCAGAAAGATACAGAAATGTTTACTATTAATTCATTAACAGGCCTATCCTTTTTTAAAAGCATTCATTCATTTTTTTCTTCTACCACAGAAATAACAGTTAAAAGTAATGGAAAGAGTATTTGTACTTAAAACTGAAACTAGGTTAAAAGATCTTTAAAGAATTACAATTGTCATAAAATTTATAAGCAAAAGAAAGGGTATTTGTACTTAAGGTAGGACAAAATAGAAAGGCAAAATTTTTCCTTAAATTCAATTTTTCTGAAACTCTGATATTTTGATTATGAGCCTTATTTTAAAATTATCTATTTATCTATTGCAAATAGATGTAATACTGCTTTAAAAGATAACATTTTGTTACTTAAACCTCAGTAAGATATATATTGATACTGGAAAATTTGAATAAAATTATACCTAAGAATAGAACATGCATAGCGTCGGAATCAATATTCAAATGTAAATATCCTACACTTTAAGTTGTCTAACTAGAAAATGTATTATTCAATGTTTACAAAAAAAAAATCAACAGAATGATTCAATTGGGTCCCAGAATAAAATGTGTAAAAAAAACAGAAAATTGAACCAATGCTTTAAATCATTTTGGCGATTAAAAAATGTCAAGGGCAAAAAAAGTGTGTTTTCTTATGACAAATTATTTCGAAGCGAGAAATTGAAAATTTCTTGATATACAAAAACAGCACATTACACGGTTATCTTGAATGAAAAAACTAATCAATATTAAGGTAAGTTTAAAACACAATAAAAGACATTTCAGTGCAATTTCAAATGTCCTTTATACAGTATTATTTCAAACTTAGCAACAGTGATCATGTTCAAATCAATTTTATACGAAAATTTTCTGTGTAAGAGGAGGTCCTTGAACTATTCAATAACCTCTGATGATTATTGTCGCCCGCGTGGCGCAGTGGTTAGAGCGTCTGCTCTATAGTCGCGAAGTAAGGAGTCAATCCTTACGTCGCGGGTTCGAATCCCAGTGTTGGACGTAGTCCTTCGGATGAGACCGTATAAACCGAGGTCCCGTGTCGCAGTAGGTGCTGGCACGAAAAAGATCCCTTCCTGCTCAATGCCCCTGAGTGCCGAGTATAGGACAAAATTTGTAGCTCTCCACTGGCAAGTGGTGGCGTCTCCATTTGATTGAAAAATATTTTAGGGTAGCTGGATTGTAAGAAAAATTACCAATCAAATTCAAAAACGTGTTTCTTCTCAAACAGTTATTAGTTTGAGAAAAAAAATGTGTTGTAGCTACACAGTAAAATTCGGGTATAATGGAGGAACGAAATTTGTTGAAACTTTCTCAGAATCTTTATTACATATTGCCATTGTGCACCTCCTTTTTTACTTTTTGATCCATCACATATTTTGTGTTTACCATATCAAAACATGGACAGTGTCATTATATTCATATGGGAGGCGGGGGTATCATTTAGTTAATATCTCATTACTCACAGTACCTCTAGTTTTAATAAAATTTAAAAAGAAATGTCTTAAAATATACATAAGCATTATAAAATTACAAGTTCGAATAGCAGCTGCTTCACAGAGGAACGTTTCAAATAGTATAAACACCAAAACTCTAAGCTTTAAGTTTTTTACGTTTAAAATAGGCACATCCAGTCTATTAATTTTATACTTTTTTAACTTGATCATTTGATCTTAATTGAGCCATTCAGATAGCTGTCAACAGCAGAGGAAATAAATTTTGTTTGAGGATGTGTTAAAGATTAAAACAAACATTTGTTTATTTTATATCTTAATTAATCTAATTATAATCTTTTATAATTAAACAAAAAAAAGTTATTGTATCTTCCATCCCGAAAACGAAGTGTAATTTTCCCTGGCAAACTCGTTCCTATATCCTGAAGCAATGTTGACCTTGTCACCTTTCTTCAGTCGAACAAGTACCGTATTAGAGCCGCTATTCCAGAATTTCTTTGGAACGGCTAAACTGTTGAATGCAGTATATCCTTTATAGTGCCCATTAACTCTCAGGAAGGGATGAGCCATTTTATTTGGATCTGTTAATGTTGCCCAGGTAAACCCATATGTCCCGTCAGAAGGTGCGGTAAAGATTCCTGTTGTCTTCTCATATGAATTCCCGTCGTTGACGAGAACTGTATCGAAGATCCATGTTTCGTGTTGTTTGTAACTTTTAGCAGTTGATTGATAAGCCGAAAATGCAACACTGCCTTTAAAAACGAAGAAAACAGAATGGTGAATTTATATGTACAAAATATATCTTTCGCTTTGATTCTAAATCTTCTCTAAATGTCACCTTCGCTAGCAAGGGTTTCTGATACGCTACACTATACAGAAACCCTTGGCATACGGTGCTGCGAGAAGAATATGAGACTGTTTTCGTCACATGATCTCGAATTTGAAAGGTACACACGGATTGTGTCATCAGCAGAGATCAATAACGTATTTAAATCATGAAAGTTTTGAAGAATAATTAAGAACAAAGTATTTATTTTCAAAGTTAAAATCTTTAATATAGATATTGATGTTGAAGTTTTAACATCTATGAGGAGAGCAGAATATCAGAAGCCCTTGGCTAGCGAATATGTCTTAAAGTGTGCTTGTAAAAATTTGAGGTAATACATCTTATATATCTTTTTATCACATATCTAGCCCTTTATCCCCTGGATACAGCTCACTGGATATCGTTTTCGTATACACACTATGTATTTCTACGCCACTTGACGTAATGTAAGTAAACGAATGCACGTATATGATGGAAAGAAAAAGTCCCAAATAATTCAATAATATTGTAAAGGTTGATGGAGGTGGTTTAGATGGGGTGTAATCTTCTAAATTTGAAAATGTTGAAATTATTTATGAAGTCGAGATTGAGGAAACAGGTCTGACATTGCCATTCCCAACTTACCGTCTCAAAAAAGTGAAACCTGTCTCGCAGTAGACTATGTCTGGATCGCATTTTGTATCGATAGACAAAAATGATACTGATAAATTTATTAATGAGCAAGAAATGAAAAACACATGGAGAAAACATCTATTGACATAAATTTGCGTATATAGTATCTTGAAACTCAAAATGAAAAAAAGACCCGCTAGCCAGATGGCTCACATTATGAACCAAAGCATCGAGGTTTTCATATGCACCTTTGATAGATATTTACATAAAATGAAGTATCGATTTCTTCTAAGACAAACCTGTACAAATTTATCATATTATAGCCGATTTATATGTCAGAAAAGTATTGCAAATAACTTATATTCTTTATATTCTTTGTATAAAGAAATATATGGAGATAACGAACAGTATTCAAGATTAAAGATCCATAAAAAAAAAATAATAATAAAAAACTAGGAGACTTATTGTTCACAGAACAATAAGAGGTCTTTCCACCTTCTTTAAATGTCAAATTTGCTTTATCGATCTGACTCCTTAAAATTAAATTCCATGAAAAAGAAACAAAAATTGTCTGAAAGCATAGAAAATCAAAGTACTCAGAAGTACTGAAAGCCGGGCTCATTTATAGGGTAATGAACAAAGACCACGATGACAGTTTAAAATCAAGCTGATTCAGCCATTGAAAAGATGATTATATATACGAGGGTTGTCCAAAAAGTTCGTGGACAATGACGTTTTTGTGAAAATAAATGATTCTATATAAATCTTTTGTATATCAAAATATTTCTTATGAAAAAACAAATCAGAATGATTTATTTTTTATGGATGGAACGTAATATTTTTGTAAAAATCGGGGTCTTAATAGGTCGCGGATAGTGCGCACGGACCAAGGTTCAACATGACATAAACTCTGATATAAAGTGTTCGTATTAAATGATTATTTTCTAAATAAAGACAAGTCAAAAATTAATAAAAATTTTATGTAACACAAATAAAGAGGCTATAATCATTTTATGATATCCTAAGTTTTTCGCTTACTATACAGACAGTACAAAATCTAAACAAAAACCCTCTCAAATATGTGTCAAAACTCGACAAAAAAATCGACGTCGGCTGTCCGCACGGGGCAGCGTCCGATAAAAAAATAAGATGTTATACGGTTGAAACGACGTAAGAGACAAAATATTTGTTAAAACAATTCAAAATTTTTGAAATATATTTAGTGTATCATTTCAGATTGGTATATACGATTTTTCAACTGTGTGTACAAATTTCGAAGACCCTACAAGAATTTAAAAGCACATGTAATTTACTGAAATGGAGATTTCTATTCATGACGTTGTTATAAATCTAGCGCAGCGTCGGACTGGGCTGTGCAGTTTGTGTATACAAACTGTTTATTTAGATGACGTTCGTAAATTTTTGTGCATTGTTTTGAAATTTAAAAATTAGATTAATTAAAATCTATACTTAAAGATTATTGCTAGCACTTGGAAGTGCGTTGCACCATAAAAAAGAAATGAAGTGTGTGTCCATGAACATGTGTTTAGTCAAAATCCAAATGTTTGACGTTATAATGAAATAAGCTTAACGTCAGACTGGTCCGTGCGCACAATCTGCGATCTTTAAAGTCCCAGATTTTTACAAAAATATTACGTTCCATCCATAAAAACGAAATCGTTCTGATTTGTTTTTTTTTATAAGAAATATTTTGATATACAAAAGATATATATAGAACCATTTCTTTGCACAAAAATCGTCATTGTCCACGAACTTTTTGGACAACCCTCGTATCTATGCCATATATAGCATTAAAAAAAGCTTTAAAATTAATTAAAATGTAGCTAGAATTAACAGCGTAAAATATTTGTCACATGTATCATTTCGGGGTTTTACATACCAACAAAAGTATAAACGTGGCCCAAAATTATTTAAAGGGCCCCAAGCCAGAGGGGGTTAAATTTTGTTTCC